CCAGCTGTTGCTGGAGAGACTCAGTTTCCCTGATGTCCGGAGTTGGAGGTGTGGACACTGCCCAGGGACAGATGTCTGTGATGACCCTGGTGGGGAGGGAGGGTCCCAGGGAGAGCACAGTCGGCTTCCTGAGCAGAGCGTATTCCTGCTACAGTGGATGAAGTGCCGGCAGTGTGACTGGGCCCTAGGGGCCAGCGCAGGTCCTGCACCTACTGGGGTGTGGGCCCCCCCCCCCCCCGGGGCTGCTCTCCGCGAAGCTTGGGTTCTTGTCAGCTCCCATGAAGTGCTGACTGGTCTCTCCTGGACCTGGGGAAGCTTAGGAGTCATCTGTTGAGGACAGAGCAAGTCTGCTGGATAGGAGGACACTTGTCCAGGCTGGGGCTGTTGGGGAATGGGGACCCCCGCCCCGTGAGCTCCAGGCCCCGGCTTCCTGCTGAGACTAGGTTAGGCAGTGTCCTGGGGCCAGGCTGTGGGGGTGGACCACAGGGAGGAGCCTCCCACCCCTGGGATCTTCTTGGGATCCCCAAAATGCAAGGCCAAAGCTACTGCCTGGGGACAGACTCCAGACACTGCGATGCCTAGGGCTCCGGCTCCAAGCTCTGTGGGGTACTCCTGGGCTGGTTCCCCTGGGAGGATGAAGGGCAGGGGCCAAGGAGGGCACTTTCTGGGTCCCCCTGTTCAGATAGAGCCCCTGCAGTGGGCTGTGCCTGTTGACAGGCTGGGTCCCCCTGAGGGCACCCCGACCTGCCCTGTCATCACATGGGGGATGGGGGCTGTGGTGCTCACAGGGGGACAAGGCGGCCCTGAGCTTGGCAGGGGCACCTATGGGGGGAAGGGAGGCACATGTCCCTGAGCACCACTGTGGGGCCATCCAGGCTATTTCCCTTGCAGGAGCGGTGGGTCCTCACTGAGCTGCATCAGCTCCCACCTGTCCTGGGCACCCTTCTCGGGACCCCCCACCAGACCTGCCAGGCAGCCCCTGCTCAGGCCCCGGAGACCCTGGGGCCAGCCCTGGGTGGATAGGGATCTCCGGAAGCCCGCATCATCCATGCATTTTCCTCCCAGACCAGGCACATGGGCTTTATAATGGTGACCCTGATGTCTTGCTTTAACTCCATCCTCTAAGGAAATAAAAACCTGGGTGTGACCCTCTAGTGAGTGTTACGAGCTGTGAGAGGCCACCATTTCCGCGGGTGTCCTGCGCCGGTTGTCAACGCTACCAACACCCTCTCCCGGCCTCTCCCCTTCTGGTCACCTGTCCACGTGGGCGGGGATCCAGACTTCACGCCACGAACATCCTCGGCGGTTGGGCACAAGAAGCTTAAATGTGGCCCATGTCCATGTATTCCTCTGGCTTCCCCATCCTTCCCTCCAGGGTCCTGAGTGTCCAGAGTACAGCGAGGTGACCCCCGACCCCTTCCTTCTCTCCTCTCCCCCTGCCCTCTTTCCCCTCCACAGCACCCTTTCTCTTCTATCCTCACTCACTGATTTGATGACCTGACTCCCCAGTTGGAGGCCACCCCATCTATACAGGTCAGCAAGGGCGGCCCGCACCCTGTGCCTACCCCACGCACCCACCTGCCATCTGACACCCCCACCAGGTGACTGATGGTCACAGGCAGCCTGGCCCCGTAGAGCTCCTGCCTTTGAGCGCCCCTCCCGCCGTCCATCGGCTGACCTGTCACCTTTACCTCTGACCCTCCTCACTGCCCCCACCCGCCTTGAGCCAGCTCCCAGCTGGGCTCCCACTTCTTTCCACCTCAACTAGCAGTGAAGGTCTGAACGACAAGGCAGGGCTGGGCCACCTCTGCCCAGACCCCCAGCGCCCCCTTATTCAGGCCCCCAGGACTAGAACCTGGTCCTCTCCGACTCTTTTTTTTTTTAATTTTCTTTTTTTTAATAAATTATTTTTTATTGGTGTTCAATTTACCAACATACAGAATAACACCCAGGGCTCATCCCGTCAAGTGTCCCCCTCAGTGCCCGTCACCCATTCACCCCCACCCCCCGCCCTCCTCCCCCTCCACCACCCCTAGTTCATTTCCCAGAGTTAGGAGTCTTTATGTTCTGGTCCTCTCCGACTCTTGCGCCCCCCTTGGCTGCCCCTCTCCTGGCTCACCTCGGGCACACCGGTCCCCTGCCCGCAGACCCCAGAATCCCCCAGCTCAACCTCCTGGGCTTTTCCGCCTTATTCCTGACTAGTCTGTGCACTCTGCACAGTTCAGCCAGACCTGGAGCAGGAGGGGCTCCCTCGGGGTCCCCCCAAAGCCCAGCCAGCTGGCACAGCGTGAACCCCTGGGTCCGACATCATGGTGCCCTCTCAGTCACCTTAGTCACTTTACACCAGACGTTTGAGGGCCTCGATGCATTTGCCAACGTCCTCCCCAGGCCAGCCAGCAGCGGCTCCGACTGGGTGCACCCCTGTGCACGCTGCTCCTTCTGAGCCTGCTCCATGTCCCCCGTATCCCCTGTCCAGGGTGTGGCCATCCGCTCCAGGACAGCCGTTCATAGCACAGCCCTGACGCTGCAGACTTTTCCAGAGGGGTGAAGGGTTGTGGGTCCAATCGCCAAGCCGGACACAACTGCCCCTTCCCCCAGTTTGTTCTGGTGGCTTCTGTTGATTCCACTGGGTTTTCTCTTGCAGGTGACACTTCTTGCCCACATAGCATGTCACCCCGTCTTACACAGGGGCCAGCCCACTGTTGGCACGTCGCGTCCCCTGTTCCCTTGCCCATCTAGAAGGGGGCACCCCGAGGGCAGCACCTGTGTGTCCAGCATCTAGCAGGAGTTGTGCCCACCAGCCACCTTCCTGCCTAAGCACCAAACCCAGAAATCTTCACTCTGTCCCCAAATCATCCTTCATTAGTCTCTGTTCCCAAAGCTTAGGTGGTTGCCCCCAAGGCCACTGTGTCCATCACTCTGCCCCTGGGCCAGACAGCTGCCCAAGCCCCTTGATCTCTCCGGGAAGCCAGCCCAACACCCAGGGCCCAGGTCTGTGGCCAAAAGGTCAGAGTTGCAGCCCCCGTGCTCCCAGGACCAGGCCAGCCTTGGGACCTTGGAGCTCAGGCTCTGGAGGCAGCTACCGCCCGACCTGCCTGCACAGTCATGGGCTCCCCAGCACCCTGTGTCCATCTCTGGGAGCACCTGGCATCCTTTTCTCTGGACAGTCTGGCCTCTCCAAGTGTGAGAGTGGAGGACCCCTTCCCTGCCAGAGCCATGAGCATCTCACCCAGCTCTCGAAGGCTCTCCAAGGCCAGACTCTGACAGAGGCTGCAGGAGGTGGGGTCTCAAGCTGCCCAGGACAACCCAGGCCCATGGGGGCCCCTTCCAGTCACATACCCCACCCCAGAGATGACAGCTCATCCCCCACACTGTCCTGGAGCCCACGAGGGCCTCCTGTGGCCTGGAGGAGCATCCCCTGTGGAAAGAACCTCCTGGTGGCCTTGCTGACCACACCCAGCTTGTAGCTCTTTCCAGAAACCCGTTGCGTAATCTGTCCGGGGTGGCTGCAGCAGGGGCTGGTGGGCAGGGCCCGCTATCTGGTTACTTCCTGCCGCCAGCCACAGATCCAGGCAGGGCGGGGGGGGGGTGCTGTGTTCTCCCCAGGGGGTGGGAGATTAGTCTCTACGCCCTGCACCCTGAGGAAGAGGCGGCTGCTTCCGACACCCGATCCACCCCAGGGAGTCAGTGGGCGCTGCCCACAGCGTGGGGTCAACCGGTCAGTGGAACAGTGGCTCCTGAAGCCAGAGGGCTGAGAACCTGCTGCTCCCACGGAGGGTGTCCCCTTCCCCCTTCCCTGCCCCTGTGTGGCCCTGGCATCTCACACTCAGGTGGTCTCCTGAACCCAAGGGACCCCTCCCCACCAGCTGGTCACTGATAGGAGGGGTCAGGCTCTGAGGTCGGTTCCCCTTGCTGAGTGGCTGCAGCAAGAGCTGGGGTGGGCAGGGCTGGATGCTGGACCCGGGCTCCACTCACAGGGGCAGGGGCAACACCGTGCAAGTGGGTGTACCACATACACTATGTGGGCTGCCCCCCACCCAAGACTGCTCTGACCAGGCCTTTGGGGCAAGGGCCGGCCCACCCACCCCCCAGGTTGCTGCGGGGCTGGTCCAGCCTGAGGTCTGCATGGTACAGGGTGGGGGTGGGGGGGTCTGGGGGCTCCCTGGAGCCTCCAAGGAAGGGGTTCAGGACCCCTGGAGGTGCTCAGGGCAGAGTTGGGGGTCGCAGGGAGGATGGGGGGGCAAGGGTTTGGTCTGTGGTGGACCTTTGTGCACGCACACCCATACACACACCCACCCTTGCACACACACACCGAGCCCAGTGTCAGTGTGATGAGGGGTCTGATGCTTTGTGGGAAAAAGATGGAGCCCTCTTCTAGAAGGTTTCCCACAAGGTCTGCTGGTGTGCAGTGTGGCCAGCTGAGTGGATGGGCAGGGCCACCCTCCATCTACCCTTTGAATGGATAGGTGCTCTCACCCAGCCATGGGAGGCAGCAGGCACCCCCAGGTGGATTTCCCTGGCCTGCCCAGTCCTGAGTGACTGGCCGAGGGTGTGGCGTGAGCCTGCTGGCACCCAGTCTGTCCCCACCTCATTCCTGGGTCTTACGAACAAGCTTAAAAATCACACAGAGTCCACAAGTTGCAAAATGCTCCAAGTGTATTTGTCAATCCAGTTGGTCATTTCCTGAGGCCCAGGGCTGAAACCGTGCCTCCTGGTGGCCGGCCAAACCACCGGCACCAAGTCCAAGTGACCGTCACTGATAGGACCCTTATGTGGAACTTCAGTCCTGGGAAGAGTGGGCTGGACCCGCAGCAAGAGGAGCCCAAGCACCCCAGGCTGGTCCTGAGCAGAGGCTGCAGGTTAGACACAAGCACTTGTCCGAGGGTCAAGTGGACCGTGGGAGGAAAGGGGTGGGTGGGCAGGGCATCCTGGTCTTGGGCCACCTGGACAAGGGCTCAGGCCCCTGGAGCCAAGGTTGTAGGAAATGGGATGGGATGCTCTTATCCTTGAATTCCAGAGGAAGGTGGCCGGGAGCCCCGAGGATGGGTGCCGGTCAGTCTGCTGGGGGAGCCTGTGGTCCTGGGCCTGCTCCGCCAGCCCGTGCGCTCTATCTCCTCGCTCTGCTCCTCGCCACTCTGCTCAGGCCTGGACTCCTCTGAGTGGCCGGGGGTGCCGTGGGAGCCACAGCGCTGCCCCACACAGCCACACTCCTCCACCTGCCGGTAGCTGAAGACCCAGCTGGAGCCGTCCGCGCAGTGCAGGGTCACGTTCCTCAGTGACACGCGCAGCTCCTGGCAGCACTGGCAGGTGTGCTTCATGGCCTTGGTCTCCAGGGAGTACCTGTGGAGGGGGGCTGCTCAGCGCTGGTGCCCCCAGCGCACCACCCGGGGGCCCACCACCAGCTGCACTCAGGGGCGCTCTGGCCAATGACTCTGGCCACCGCAGGGCATCATTACTCCTGTGGCCGACCAGCCACCAGGGTGCCACTGCTGACCCCCAGCCACACCACCAATGGGGCCATTGAGTCTGATTTCACACGGTCAGTGGGCCATTGGCGTCTGAACCTCCGGTCCCAGTGCCTTGGCGGACCCTCAGGGCCCTGCTGTCCCTCTTCCCTCGCCCTGCACATCCTGTCTGCCTGGGCACCCTGAGGTCTGGGTGCACCCCATACAAACATCGCCCCGTGGAAGCTGGTCCTGGCCGGGCCGAGTGGGGGTCCGTACCTGGAGGAGCTGTCTCCACAGTTGCCCTGGCAGTAGGCGAGGTGCACGGGCCCAGGGGAGCTGCAGCCTTGCTGACTGATGACCTGCTGCTCGTGGTACACTGCACACATCGACCCTGGGGCCACAGGAGGCAGTGCAGGGGTCAGGACCGGCCAGGACCCCTGGCCCCCCGGGTGGGCAGGACCAGCCACCCCCTGTAGACACCTCGCACTCACCGTTGTCGGTCGGGTGTAGAGGACAGGACAGACAGCAGCCGTCCTTGCTTGGCAGAGCCTGTTCCTGTGCCGACAAAGGGGCCTCCTTGAGGGCCAGAGGAGCTGGGCCGGACGTGGGGGCACGGACTGGAGGGGATGGGGCCCCACGCAGGGGGTGGTGCCCCTGCGGGCACTACGCAGGGCAGCCTTGGCTCCCCACTCCCACCCCCAACCCGGGCGCATCTCACCGCGGCCCCCTGTGAGGCCAGGGTGGGCTCACCTCAGGACAGCTGAGGGGGGGACACGCCTTTCTCGTGGTCACCACCACAAGCCCGTCCTGGTGCTTCTCACACTCGTGGGTCATGCAGGGGTTCCCGGGGTCTGGCCAGGACTGGCCGGGCTGCAAGGAGGAGCCAGCCAGCGGGGTGAGTGGGCAGCAGAGGTAGAACCACATGCACCTGTGCGTCTGAGTGGGCCTCCCAGCCTGTGGGCTTCCAGAGCCCTCCCGGCCTCCACCAGGCACCTGCCTTGCCATGACGGCTCCCCAGGGGCCCCAGGACCCCCGGCTGGCTCAGCACTCCCCTGCCCTGCTGTCACTGAGCACCTCCCAGCAACTCTATCCAGGCAGGGGCGGGCCCTGACTCTGAGCCCCGGCCTCCCTGCAGCTCCTGGGAGGGGCATGGTGACTTCACCCCTACCCCAGGACTCCCTCCACGGCCCTGGGGCCCCGAGCCAGGCCCCGCTGCCACTACTCACGTAGAAGAGGTGAGTGGAGTTGTTGCTGCTGTTGACGACGCAGGCCTGCTGCACACACAGGCCACAGCACTGCCCGCTCTGCGGCTGGTACTCGAAGCCCTGCGGGGAGAGCCAGATGTGCCACCTGAGCCCCGGCACTCGCTGCGTGGGCCGCAGGGCCCCGGGGGCGGCAGGCACTCACCACGGGGCAGTGGGTGTTGCAAATCTGGGTCTCACAGCTGATGATGACTGTGTCCGAGTGGGGACCGCCGGGCGCCTCACACCTGCAGGTTTCACACAGACTGGAGGAGACCACGGAGCCAGGCTGGGGAGAGTCAGGGTGGCCAGAGCCGGTGAGCTCAGGGCAGTGCCAGGGCCCCCTGCCTTCCAGAACGTACCCCCACCAAGCTTGGCCCCCGTTGGGCAGACCAGTCCCTCTGGTGACCCTAGGTTGTGCCTCCTGGTGGGTAGGGGGGGTGCAGGGAGCCCAAAGCCTGTGTCTCTGTGGCCAGGGTGCCCAGGGAGGTCACATGCTCTAGACAGCCCAGCCAGAGGACACTGAGGTCGGGGTCCTCATCACATCCAGGAGAGAGCCGGGGCATCGGTGCCTCGCCCACCCCGCTGATGCTGAGGAGGGGCAAAGCCACAGGGCCGACCTTGGGCATCAGCCACATGGGCCTGTGGGTGGGTGGTGGTCCCCAGAGAGCTCACAGCTGTTCGAGGTCCATATGAGCTGGCACGGGGCCCTGGCACAGCCCGGAGGCCACGCAGGAAGAAGCGGGCAGAGGCGGGGACCACTCAGCCTCCTGTGTGCCATGGGGATCCTGATGTCCACCTGGCTCTTACCTGGTACAAGGTGCCGTTCACGTTGCACACACTCCAGCCTGTTGGAGAGGAGACACGTCGTCTCATGGACCCGCGCTCACCTGCCACCCAGCCTGCCACCCCAGCCACTGCCGCCCCCAGCCTCCGGAGCCGCCAGCTTGGCACTTAGCACCACAGTGGCCTAGCCCCCAGGCTCTGGACAGGGGTGCTCCCTCTGCACCTTCACCCAGGTTTACCCCAAGCCACAAAGAACCTGAGGGAGCTGGGCCCCCCAACCTGCAGCACCCAGTGCCGGCGGTGAGGAGGGGGGACACACTCACTGCAGTTCTGGTTCGGACAGCAGGCGCCCTCCTCATAGGTCAGGATCGGGCGGGAGCCCTCGGGACAAGCCACAGGCTTGGGGCAGTAGCTGGTGTCACAGGCTGCAGCAGATGGGAAGGAGGCGTTCAGGGCCAGTGTCCGGCTCCGTGCGCTCCCGCCCCCACCCATGTGCTATCCCCCCGGGTCTCTAGGAGTACCAACTGCCCAGTGGGCAGGTGGCGGGCTCCCCAAGGGGCGCATGGCCACTCTGGGAGGTGAAGCTTCTGGATGGCCCCCTGCCCTCCTGGCATTCCCACTGTCTCCCAAGCATGTCTGTTGGGGAAGATCACTGGACAAGGTCTTAGTGGGGGTCAGGAGGGCGCTTTCCCCCCTTGATTGTGCTGCCCACCCCATGCCAGCACCCCAGCACCTCCCAGGAAGTTGTCCCCGGGCACTTGGCTAAAGGCACCATGCAAAAGTGGACCCTAGTAGGCATGGGGGGCAGCCACCCCAGGCTTACCGCAGTTGTACTGAGGACAGCACTGGCCAGCCTGTGGGGCCGCAGGCACGGGCACGAAGCCTGGCAAGGGGCAGGCTGGTGGCAGAGGGCAGGGCTGCCTCTGACAGCTCATCGTCAGCGTGTAGTTCTCACACGTGCACCACTGGCAGTCCACGGTGATGGAGTGGCCGGGCTGCAGAGGAGGTACATGTGGCCAGGCTGCAGGAGGAGGCTGTCCGGCCCAAGGACAGAAGAGTGCCGGGGGCCCACGACTGATGGCTGGCAGGGGAGCCAGGGGGTGCGCAGGTGGTGGCCACGGGGACAGAGATGGGGCAGCAGCCTGACCACCTCCGTTCTCACAGTGTCCAAGTGCAACAGAAGGGGATCCCAGCGGAGAACGGGGCAGAGCCACCCCAGGGGTGGGCACCCCCATGTGGAAGCCCCCCAGTGTGCCTAGAGAAGCCCTGACCCCTCCCTGCCCTTCCTCTGACCCTCTGGCCTGAGAAGGTGCCCCGCCCCCACCCCAGCTGGCCACACTCACCTCCACAGGCTCCCCGTGGGGCCCCAGGCACTCTGGAGGGAGAGAGATTGAGGTCATAGGGGGACAGTTCTGGTCTCTGGCCTTCCAGGGGCAGGACCCAGTTTGGGGGCACAGGTAGTCCCATGTAGAAAGCCCCAGGATCTGGCTGGCAGGGACAGCTCCTGGGGGGCACGTTGTCCCGTGCTCCCGTCCACCCCCAGCCCCACCCACGGGAACCTACTGTCGCAGTCTATGGGCACGCAGACTTCGGAGCTCCCGCTGAAAAGCTTCATGCCCTCTGGACAGAAGCAGCCTTCTGTGATGGGCCCAGAGTCCTGTAGAGCCCTGTGGGGACAACAGAGGGCTGGCCTGGTCCCCGTGTCTCCCAGGGCAGGAGAGGCCCAGCCTGGGAGCTCTGGGGCAGGTCCAGGAGGGAGGGGCAGGTGCATACATGAGGCTGGCGTTGTCACTCCCATAGCAGTAGGAGGGCTTGGACGGGCCACAGGGCTGGTACACCTTGTCCGCAGGGCAGGTGAATGCTGTGTGGGGACAGAAGCCACAGCTGAGGCCAAGGGCACCAGCCCAGAGCCACCTCCCAGGCCTACCCTGGGCCTGACACCTGCTGGGGCTCTGCAGCTAGGAAGCTGGACCCTCGGGCCCCACCCCTTCGTGTCCTGAGCCCCAGATGCTGGGCACCCCGACCTTCTCTCCAGAAGCTGATTGCACTGGGTCCTAGGGTTTACTCCCTTCCCCTTCCCCCTCCCTCCCTCCTCCAGGAAGTCCAGCTGCTGATTGCCAGCCGAGCGTGTCCATCCCCCGGCCACACGCTGGCAGCGGCTGCTGCATGGTGGGACCAGGTGCCCGAGGCCCAGTGGGCACTCACGGCACGTGTGGTTGGTGTGGCTCCTCCAGTCGATGCAAACACCGTGGGAGGCGCAGAGCGACGCGTACAGCTCCAGGGCGGAGCACATCACGTTCGAGTCGGTCTTGTGGCAGTGGTCGAACACACAGCCTTCGTAGAATGCCAGCGGGGGGATCACAGCGTGGCACGGCCCAAACACCCTACGGTCAGCGACACCAGGTCGTGGGGCAGCTCGGGCTTTTCTCCCAGGGTCTGTGTGCCCTGGGGGATGGCATGCTTTTCTCCCTAGGATTCTCCCCTGGGCCTCCCCCTCAGCCCAGAAACCCAAGTACTCTGTCCTGGGGTGCTGAGCGGGCGCAGACCCACCTCGAGCTCACCAAAGCTGACCCGCCCGACCAGCCCTGCACCCAGTGTACCAGCAACCACCCTGCTCAAGATGCAGGGACCGTGGCTCTCCTCCCCACCGGGAGTCACTGTCGCTCCCCCCCCCCCAAAAATCTCACTTGCTCAGAATCAGCTGGCAGACTGGTGCCGGCGGGCACGAGGAGGGCGAGGGCGTGGGCCAGGCTGCGGTGGGTGTCGGCAAAGGCCCGTAGCAGTACGGCTGGTCGGGTGTGGTCACCCTCCAGTGGCTGGACATAGCAGAGCAGGAGGCTGCTTCCACACCCCCAGGCAGGCGACACTCATCCCTCTTGTCGTTGCTGCAAGTGCCTGGGGTGGGAAGGCAGGTGTCAGGCTGACGGCGAAAGCAGAGCTCCCCCCACTCATGGGCCCTGGAGCTTAGGGTGGGGACTCGATGGGGTGGCTGAGGGACCAGACTATAGCACTCCCCCCACCCTGGCCGCCAGAGCCAGGCAGTTCCTGTGGAGGGTGGACATGTGGACCCCTGCCCAGGGCCCTGTGGTGTGCCAACTGCACATGGTCCCCGGGGGACACCCCCAGCAAGACCCTTACCACACCGAGCATCTCAGCTACATGCGACCAGCAGAGAGAGGGCCCAGTGTCCCCAGAGCCCAGTGGGGACAGGCACTCACCACACTGCCCCTCTGTGTTGTTAGCGAACTTGCTGAAAGGCACCTCCACCGAGAAGATGAGGCCAGAGAACATGACCTGGACGCCAAGTTTAGGGATGGTCACATACATCTTGATGCCAATTTGGGACACACTCACACCGTCCTTCTGGAAGCCGGGCCTGACCACTTGATCGTTGAAGATAATCTAGACACAGCCGAGGATGAGACAGTGAGAACGAGGCAGTGCCCCCCGCAAGCCCTGGTCCGTGTGGAGCTGTCTTGTGGGGGGTGATCCCCACCTCGTTGGTCATCACCCCATGGATGGGCTTGCGGGTCATCACAACGCGGGCCTGCTGGTACTCGACAATGATGGACTGCGGGCAGGAGAGCCCATCCTCGGCCCCACAGAAGTAGTTGTTGATGAGCACGCGGAAGTGGCCGTACACGGGCACGATCTGCTGCACCAGCACATAGGTGCAGTTGTCCAGGAAGCTGTAGTATGTGCCATCGAAGGTGATGTAGTGGGGGTCGCCCCAGCCGCTGCACACACCTGCGGGCACAGAGCAACCTTACGTGGGGTCTCCCAATGGGCGTGTCGGCCCTGAGGACCCATGTGCCCAGCACTGAACTCTGCCAGTGGGTGCCTGATAAGGCCTGAGTGATGTGGCCAGGCCCCCTTGGCCTCCTCCCATCTGGCATGGCCCCGGAAGTCCTGGGGCTCAGGCCCTGGGCTCGGAAAGGATTCCATTTGGCACCCCGGTGGGGCCTGGCATGAACCATTCCCTGCCTCACCATTGGGAAGTCCTTCCTGGTGTCTGACCCAAGTCCATGCTGCCCCCTCAGGGGAATCCCCACCCATCCCACCAGCCGCCCCATCTGGCTCCCAGCTCACACTGGCACTGGTAGTTCGGGCAGCAGTCATCGTGGTCCGTCACCTTCACAGGGGGGAAGCCGTTGGTGCAGGTGGGTGGCTGTGTCTGTGGGCACGATCGTGGGTGCACGGTGATGACACCATTGCCCTGACAGGTGGCTTGAGAGCAGTTGGGCATGGGCCACGTCTCGCCTTTCTGTGGAAGAAGGACAGCTCTCAGCCTCATGATGCTGCAGTCTCCCCAAGAGGGGAGCCATAGGAAACAAGAGGGGGCCGGCCTGGCTAGGGGGTTCCCCTGCCCTCCCTACCCCCTGCCACCCATTCCTCACATGTGGCCTCCTCTCCTGGTGCTCTGCATGGGCCACACACACCCTCCCCAGATGCCTGGCCTGGTCTGGAGCCTCACCCACCCTCTTGGGCACCCCATCATCTGCTGATGGCACATACTCTCAGCTACCAGGCCGGTACCCCTCTTGGCAATTAGGTGGGACCAGAATTAGCCACTTCACAATGGTCAGCCTGCTTCGGCCCATAGGTGACTGACTTTCCTGCTCACAGCCAAATTGGAAAGAAGCGGAGGGTCATGGCACCAGCCTCTGAGAAGGGCAGAGAGGGGCAGTTACCATTCTCGGGGGGACTGCATTTGGGCATCCCTGCATAGTGACAGGCACAGAAGTCGACAAGGAGGGTCCAGGTGGGGAGGTGGTTGGGGCAGGAGGTGGCACGCTGCTGGAGCAGGACTGGTCTGACCACCTGACCACCTGACAGTCCAGGCTGCACATGGCATAATAGCAGTGACCAGCGAGGTCCGTCTGTTGGTAAATGATGGATCCTGCAAGAGAAAGGGTCAGGCAACAATGAGCGGAGCTGAGCTGGGGAAATAGTCACAGCCCAGAGGGGCACTTCCAGCCTGGCATTGACATCAGGGACGGACCTGGTAGGACGTATTCCTACCCAGAAATAAACAGAATACATCCTCAAAGGGGGCTCAGTGTCCCACTCAGAGACAGCATGTAGCTTAGTCACAGAGATAGGGACCCCTCCCCTCTTCCATACACCACTGTTTTTTTGTGGACAAGATAGCAGAGGCTGGGGGAAAGACACACCACACCTGGAATCAGTAGTCACATACCTGCAGGGTAGAGCTTGCCAGACACGCTGCAGTAGCATGTCGTGGTGGACGGTGCCACGGAGCTGGGAAACGACACAGTGGACACCACAGAGGTAGATTCAGGAGGAGGCGAGCGATTGGTAGATGAAGTCACATGGGGCGTCACAGAGGTGTGACCACAGTGCTCTGGGGTCTCACAGCACAGCACACGGACCTCATAGTTGAGACACATCCCGACATTGCCTTTCTGGTCCCGGTTCCGGCACACGAGTCCCTTGGTGAGGTTGCACTGCACCACCTGGCCCAGCTTGGCGATGCTGACCTCAGGGTGGCTCTCAGCCCGGCACTCCAGCTGTGCAATGTATTCAGGCCGGCGGCAGATTTTCTCTCCCCTTTTCTTGATGTTGCAGAAGGTTTCTGCATCTCCTCCATGGGGCCCCGGGGATGGGAAGTCCACGTCAAACCACTTGGTCCACGTGCATTGTGGCTGGCAAGTGACAGTCACATACGGGGAGTGGGTTGTCTCTGATGTGAGAACAGGGATTGTGCTGGTTGTAGGAGCAGACGTTGTGGTAGTTTTTGGCGGAGACGTTGGACTGCTTGCTGGTAGAGATGTGAGGCTGGTTGTTGGCACAGTGCTTGCACTGGTTGTTGGCACAGAGGCTGAGCTGGTTTCTGGTGCAGATGTTGGACTGGTGGCTGGCACAGACGTTGAGCTAGTTGTTGGCCTAGATGTTGTGCTCGTTGGCACAGTGGTTTTTGGCACAGAGATTGGGCTGGTTGTTGGCACAGTGGTTTTGGTGGTTTCTGGCACAGAGATTGGGCTGGTTGTAGGCACAGAGGTTGAGCTGGTTATTGGCACAGAAATTGAGCTGCTTCTTGGCTCAGAGGTCGTGCTGATTGTGGACACAGATGTGGGGCTGGTTGTAGGCACAGAGGTTGACCTAGTTGTTGGCACAGGTATTGGGCGGGTTGTTGACATAGGGGTTGAGCTGGTTTCTGGCACAGATGTTGGGCTGGATGGAGGCACAGAAGTTGAGCTCGTTGTTGGCACAGAGGTTGAGCCAGTTGTTGTCACAGAAGTTGAGCTGGTTGTTGGAACTGTTGTTGGGCCTGTTGTTGACACAGAAGTTGAGCTCGTTGTTGGCACAGTTGTTGGGCTGGATGGAGGCACAGAAGTTGAGCTCGTTGTTGGCACAGAGGTTGGGCCAGTTGTTGACACAGAAGTTGAGCTGCTTGATGGAAATGTTGTTGGGCCTGTTGTTGGCACAGAGGTTGAGCTGGTTTCCAGCATAGATGTTGGGCTGGATGGAGGCACAGAAGTTGAGCTCGTTGTTGACACAGTTGTTGGGCCAGTTGTTGGCACAGAAGTTGAGCTACTTGATGGAACTGTTGTTGGGCCTGTTGTTGGCACAGAAGTTAAGCTCGTTGTTGGCACAGATGTTGGGCTGGATGGAGGCACAGAAGTTGAGCTCGTTGTTGGCACAGTTGTTGGGCCTGTTGTTGGCCCAGAGGTTGAGCTGGTTGTTGGAACTGTTGTTGGGCTTGTTGTTGGCACAGAGGTTGACCTGGTTGTTGGAACATGTTGTTGGGCCTGTTGTTGGCACAGAGGTTGAGCTGGTTTCTTGCACAGATGTTGCGCTGGATGGAGACACAGAAGTTGAGCTCGTTGGCACAGAGGTTGGTCCAGTTGTTGGCACAGAAGTTGAGCTGGTTGTTGGAACTGTTGTTGGGCCTGTTGTTGACACAGAAGTTGAGCTCGTTGTAGGCACAGTTGTTGGTCCAGTGGTCGGCCCAGGGGTTGAGCTGGTTTCCGGCATAGATGTTGGGCTGGATGGAGGCACAGAAGTTGAGCTCGTTGTTGGCACAGAGGTTGGGCCTGTGGTTGGCACAGAGGTTGAGCTGGTTGTTGGAACTGTTGTTGGGCCTGATGTTGGCACAGAGGTTGAGCTGGTTGTTGGAACTGTTGTTGGGCCTGATGTTGGCACAGAGGTTGAGCTGGTTGTTGGAACTGTTGTTGGACCTGTTGTTGGCCCAGAGGTTGAGCTGGTTTCTGAAACAGATGTTGGGCTGGATGGAGGCACAGAAGTTGAGCTCGTTGTTGGGCCAGTTGTTGGGCCTGTTGTTGGACCAGAGGTTGAGCTGGTTGTTGGAACTGTTGTTGGGCCTGTTGTTGGCCCAGAGGTTGAGCTGGTTGTTGGAACTGTTGTTGGGCTTGTTGTTGGCACAGAGGTTGAGCTGGTTTCTTGCACAGATGTTGGGCTGGATGGAGGCACAGAAGTTGAGCTCGTTGTTGGCACAGAGGTTGAGCCAGTTGTTGGCACAGAAGTTGAGCTGGTTGTTGGAACTGTTGTTGGGCCTGTTGTTGACACAGAAGTTGAGCTCGTTGTTGGCACAGTTGTTGGGCTGGATGGAGGCACAGAAGTTGAGCTCGTTGTTGGCACAGAGGTTGGGCCAGTTGTTGACACAGAAGTTGAGCTGCTTGATGGAAATGTTGTTGGGCCTGTTGTTGACACAGAGGTTGAGCTGGTTGTTGGAACTGTTGTTGGGCCTGTTGTTGGCACAGAGGTTGAGCTGGTTGTTGGAACTGTTGTTGGACCTGTTGTTGGCCCAGAGGTTGAGCTGGTTGTTGGAACTGTTGTTGGGCCTGTTGTTGACACAGAAGTTGAGCTCGTTGTTGGCACAGTTGTTGGTCCAGTGGTTGGCCCAGGGGTTGAGCTGGTTTCCGGCATAGATGTTGGGCTGGATGGAGGCACAGAAGTTGAGCTCGTTGTTGGCACAGAGGTTGGGCCTGTGGTTGGCACAGAGGTTGAGCTGGTTGTTGGAACTGTTGTTGGGCCTGTTGTTGGCCCAGAGGTTGAGCTGGTTGTTGGCACAGTTGTTGGTCCAGTGGTTGGCCCAGAGGTTGAGCTTGTTGTTGGCACAGATGTTGGGCCAGTTGTTGGCACAGAGGTTGAGCTGGTTGTTGGAACTGTTGTTGGGCCTGTTGTTGGCACAGAGGTTGAGCTGGTTGTTGGAACTGTTGTTGGACCTGTTGTTGGCCCAGAGGTTGAGCTGGTTTCTGAAACAGATGTTGGGCTGGATGGAGGCACAGAAGTTGAGCTCGTTGTTGGCACAGAGGTTGAGCTGGTTGTTGGAACTGTTGTTGGGCCTGTTGTTGGCCCAGAGGTTGAGCTGGTTGTTGGCACAGTTGTTGGTCCAGTGGTTGGCCCAGAGGTTGAGCTTGTTGTTGGCACAGATGTTGGGCCAGTTGTTGGCACAGAGGTTGAGCTGGTTGTTGGAACTGTTGTTGGGCCTGTTGTTGGCACAGAGGTTGAGCTGGTTGTTGGAACTGTTGTTGGACCTGTTGTTGGCCCAGAGGTTGAGCTGGTTTCTGAAACAGATGTTGGGCTGGATGGAGGCACAGAAGTTGAGCTCGTTGTTGGCACAGAGGTTGGGCCTGTGGTTGGCACAGAGGTTGAGCTGGTTGTTGGAACTGTTGTTGGGCCTGATGTTGGCACAGAGGTTGAGCTGGTTGTTGGAACTGTTGTTGGTTCTGATGTTGGCACAGAGGTTGAGCTGGTTGTTGGAACTGTTGTTGGACCTGTCGTTGGCCCAGAGGTTGACCTGGTTGTTGGAACTGTTGTTGGGCCTGTTGTAGGCACAGAGGTTGAGCTGGTTGTTGGAACTGTTGTTGGGCTTGTTGTTGGCACAGAGGTTGAGCTGGTTTCTTGCACAGATGTTGGGCTGGATGGAGGCACAGAAGTTGAGCTCATTGTTGGCACAGAGGTTGGTCCAATTGTTAGCACAGAAGTTGAGCTGGTTGTTGGAACTGTTGTTGGGCCTGTTGTTGACACAGAAGTTGAGCTCGTTGTTGGCACAGTTGTTGGTCCAGTGGTTGGCCCAGGGGTTGAACTGGTTTCCGGCATAGATGTTGGGCTGGATGGAGGCACAGAAGTTGAGCTCGTTGTTGGCACAGAGGTTGGGCCTGTTGTTGGCACAGAGGTTGAGCTGGTTGTTGGAACTGTTGTTGTACCTGTTGTTGGCCCAGAGGTTGAGCTGGTTTCTTGCACAGATGTTGGGCTGGATGGAGGCACAGAAGTTGAGCTCGTTGTTGGGCCAGTTGTTGGGCCTGTTGTTGGCACAGAGGTTGAGATGGTTGTTGGAACTGTTGTTGGGCTTGTTGTTGGCCCAGAAGTTGAGCTGGTTGTTGGAACTGTTGTTGGGCCTGTTGTTGGCCCAGAGGTTGAGCTGGTTGTTGGCACAGTTGTTGGTCCAGTGGTTGGCCCAGAGGTTGAGCTTGTTGTTGGCACAGATGTTGGGCCAGTTGTTGGCACAGAGGTTGAGCTGGTTGTTGGAACTGTTGTTGGGCCTGTTGTTGGCACAGAGGTTGAGCTGGTTGTTGGCACAGTTGTTGGTCCAGTGGTTGGCCCAGAGGTTGAGCTTGTTGTTGGCACAGATGTTGGGCCAGTTGTTGGCACAGAGGTTGAGCTGGTTGTTGGAACTGTTGTTGGGCCTGTTGTTGGCCCAGAGGTTGAGCTCGTTGTTCGCACAGATGTTGGTCCTGTGGTTGGCCCAGGGGTTGAGCTGGTTTCCAGCATAGATGTTGGTCTGGATGGAGGCACAGAAGTTGAGCTCGTTGTTGGCACAGAGGTTGGGCCTGTGGTTGGCACAGAGGTTGAGCTGGTTGTTGGAACTGTTGTTGGGCCTGTTGTTGGCCCAGAGGTTGAGCTGGTTGTTGGCACAGTTGTTGGTCCAGTGGTTGGCCCAGAGGTTGAGCTTGTTGTTGGCACAGATGTTGGGCCAGTTGTTGGCACAGAGGTTGAGCTGGTTGTTGGAACTGTTGTTGGGCTTGTTGTTGGCACAGAGGTTGAGCTGGTTTCTTGCACAGATGTTGCGCTGGATGGAGGCACAGAAGTTGAGCTCATTGTTGGCACAGAGGTTGGTCCAGTTGTTGGCACAGAAGTTGAGCTGGTTGTTGGAACTGTTGTTGGGCCTGTTGTTGACACAGAAGTTGAGCTCGTTGTTGGCACAGTTGTTGGTCCAGTGGTTGGCCCTGGGGTTGAGCTGGTTTCCGGCATAGATGTTGGGCTGGATGGAGGCACAGAAGTTGAGCTCGTTGTTGGCACAGAGGTTGGGCCTGTGGTTGGCACAGAGGTTGAGCTGGTTGTTGGCACAGTTGTTGGTCCAGTGGTTGGCCCAGAGGTTGAGCTTGTTGTTGGCACAGTTGTTGGTCCAGTGGTTGGCCCAGAGGTTGAGCTCGTTGTTGGCACAGATGTTGGGCCTGTGGTTGGCACAGAGGTTGAGCTGGTTGTTGGAACTGTTGTTGGGCCTGTTGTTGGCACAGAGGTTGAGCTGGTTGTTGGAACTGTTGTTGGGCTTGTTGTTGGCACAGAGGTTGAGCTGGTTTCTTGCACAGATGTTGGGCTGGATGCAGGCACAGAAGTTGAGCTCATTGTTGGCACAGAGGTTGGTCCAGTTGTAGGCACAGAGGTTGAGCTGGTTGTTGGAACTGTTGTTGGGCTTGTTGTTGGCACAGAGGTTGAGCTGGTTTCTTGCACAGATGTTGCGCTGGATGGAGGCACAGAAGTTGAGCTCATTGTTGGCACAGAGGTTGGTCCAGTTGTTGGCACAGAAGTTGAGCTGGTTGTTGGAACTGTTGTTGGGCCTGTTGTTGACACAGAAGTTGAGCTCGTTGTTGGCACAGTTGTTGGTCCAGTGGTTGGCCCTGGGGTTGAGCTGGTTTCCGGCATAGATGTTGGGCTGGATGGAGGCACAGAAGTTGAGCTCGTTGTTGGCACAGAGGTTGGGCCTGTGGTTGGCACAGAGGTTGAGCTGGTTGTTGGCACAGTTGTTGGTCCAGTGGTTGGCCCAGAGGTTGAGCTTGTTGTTGGCACAGATGTTGGGCCAGTTGTTGGCACAGAGGTTGAGCTGGTTGTTGGAACTGTTGTTGGGCTTGTTGTTGGCACAGAGGTTGAGCTGGTTTCTTGCACAGATGTTGCGCTGGATGGAGGCACAGAAGTTGAGCTCATTGTTGGCACAGAGGTTGGTCCAGTTGTTGGCACAGAAGTTGAGCTGGTTGTTGGAACTGTTGTTGGGCCTGTTGTTGACACAGAAGTTGAGCTCGTTGTTGGCACAGTTGTTGGTCCAGTGGTTGGCCCTGGGGTTGAGCTGGTTTCCGGCATAGATGTTGGGCTGGATGGAGGCACAGAAGTTGAGCTCGTTGTTGGCACAGAGGTTGGGCCTGTGGTTGGCACAGAGGTTGAGCTGGTTGTTGGCACAGTTGTTGGTCCAGTGGTTGGCCCAGAGGTTGAGCTTGTTGTTGGCACAGTTGTTGGTCCAGTGGTTGGCCCAGAGGTTGAGCTCGTTGTTGGCACAGATGTTGGGCCTGTGGTTGGCACAGAGGTTGAGCTGGTTGTTGGAACTGTTGTTGGGCCTGTTGTTGGCACAGAGGTTGAGCTGGTTGTTGGAACTGTTGTTGGGCTTGTTGTTGGCACAGAGGTTGAGCTGGTTTCTTGCACAGATGTTGGGCTGGATGCAGGCACAGAAGTTGAGCTCATTGTTGGCACAGAGGTTGGTCCAGTTGTAGGCACAGAGGTTGAGCTGGTTGTTGGAACTGTTGTTGGGCTTGTTGTTGGCACAGAGGTTGAGCTGGTTTCTTGCACAGATGTTGCGCTGGATGGAGGCACAGAAGTTGAGCTCATTGTTGGCACAGAGGTTGGTCCAGTTGTTGGCACAGAAGTTGAGCTGGTTGTTGGAACTGTTGTTGGGCCTGTTGTTGACACAGAAGTTGAGCTCGTTGTTGGCACAGTTGTTGGTCCAGTGGTTGGCCCTGGGGTTGAGCTGGTTTCCGGCATAGATGTTGGGCTGGATGGAGGCACAGAAGTTGAGCTCGTTGTTGGCACAGAGGTTGGGCCTGTGGTTGGCACAGAGGTTGAGCTGGTTGTTGGCACAGTTGTTGGTCCAGTGGTTGGCCCAGAGGTTGAGCTTGTTGTTGGCACAGTTGTTGGTCCAGTGGTTGGCCCAGAGGTTGAGCTTGTTGTTGGCACAGATGTTGGGCCTGTGGTTGGCACAGAGGTTGAGCTGGTTGTTGGAACTGTTGTTGGGCCTGTTGTTGGCACAGAGGTTGAGCTGGTTGTTGGAACTGTTGTTGGGCTTGTTGTTGGCACAGAGGTTGAGCTGGTTTCTTGCACAGATGTTGGGCTGGATGCAGGCACAGAAGTTGAGCTCATTGTTGGCACAGAGGTTGGTCCAGTTGTAGGCACAGAAGTTGAGCTGGTTGTTGGAACTGTTGTTGGGCTTGTTGTTGGCACAGAGGTTGAGCTGGTTTCTTGCACAGATGTTGCGCTGGATGGAGGCACAGAAGTTGAGCTCATTGTTGGCACAGAGGTTGGTCCAGTTGTTGGCACAGAAGTTGAGCTGGTTGTTGGAACTGTTGTTGGGCCTGTTGTTGACACAGAAGTTGAGCTCGTTGTTGGCACAGTTGTTGGTCCAGTGGTTGGCCCAGGGGTTGAGCTGGTTTCCGGCATAGATGTTGGGCTGGATGGAGGCACAGAAGTTGAGCTCGTTGTTGGCACAGAGGTTGGGCCTGTGGTTGGCACAGAGGTTGAGCTGGTTGTTGGAACTGTTGTTGGGCCTGTTGTTGACACAGAAGTTGAGCTCGTTGTTGGCACAGTTGTTGGTCCAGGGGTTGAGCTGGTTTCCGGCATAGATGTTGGGCTGGATGGAGGCACAGAAGTTGAGCTCGTTGTTGGCACAGAGGTTGGGCCTGTGGTTGGCACAGAGGTTGAGCTGGTTGTTGGAACTGTTGTTGGGCTTGTTGTTGGCACAGGGGTTGAGCTGGTTTCTTGCACAGATGTTGCGCTGGATGGAGGCACAGAAGTTGAGCTCATTGTTGGCACAGAGGTTGGTCCAGTTGTTGGCACAGAAGTTGAGCTGGTTGTTGGAACTGTTGTTGGGCCTGTTGTTGACACAGAAGTTGAGCTCGTTGTTGGCACAGTTGTTGGTCCAGTGGTTGGCCCAGGGGTTGAGCTGGTTTCCGGCATAGATGTTGGGCTGGATGGAGGCACAGAAGTTGAGCTCGTTGTTGGCACAGAGGTTGGGCCTGTGGTTGGCACAGAGGTTGAGCTGGTTGTTGGCACAGTTGTTGGTCCAGTGGTTGGCCCAGAGGTTGAGCTTGTTGTTGGCACAGATGTTGGGCCAGTTGTTGGCACAGAGGTTGAGCTGGTTTCTGGAACTGTTGTTGGGCCTGTTGTTGGCACAGAAGTAGATCTGATTCTTGGCACAGAGGTTGAGCTGGTTGTTGGCACAGTTGCTGGGCCTGTTGTAGGCACAGAGGTTGAGCTGCTTTCTGGCACAGATGTTCGGCCTGTTGTTGGCACAGTGGTTTTGGTGGTTTCTGGCACAGAGGTTGGGCCTGTGGTTGGCATAGAGGTTGAGGTTGTTGTTGACATACTTTTTGGGCTGGCTGTTGGCACAGATGTTGAGTGGGATGTCACCAGGTGAGTGGTGGTCTCTTTTAGACTACTGGTGCTCACACTTGGGGTGTGAGACACTGTGACAGTTTTGGTGGGAGGACACCCCTCTGGGGTCTCACAGCACAGCACACGGACCTCATAGTTGAGACACATCCCGACATTGCCCTTCTGGTCCTGGTTCCGGCACACCAGGCCCTTGGTGAGGTTGCACTGCACCACCTGGCCCAGCTTGTCGATGCTGACCTCAGGGTGGCTCTCAGCCCGGCACTCCAGCTGTGTGATGTATTCTGGCCGGCGGCAGATTTTCTCTCCCTTTCTCATGATGTTGCTGAAGCTTTCCACGTCTCCTCCGTGGGGCCCCGGGGATGGGAAGTCCACGTCAAACCACTTGGTCCACATGCATCGTGGCTGGCAGTTGATAGTTATGGGTACAGAGACCAAATGTGTGCTGAGCACATTGCTGGTTGAAGAGTGCACTTGCGTTGAGCTGACCCCACTGTGTTGTGTGGGAGACAAAGGAATTCCAGTAGTTGAGGTAAGCTGCATTTGAGTCTGGGTTGTCCTTGGGGTGGTGTGTGTGTTCTCAGCTGTCACAGGAGATGTTGTGCTTGTGCACACATCCACCAACTCACAGCACTGGATCCGGATTTCATAGTTATAGCAGATTGGAGGAAACTGATTCTTATTCAGGCACATCAGCCCCACACTCTTGTCACAAATCACATCCTGCCCCAGCTCATCCAGTGGGATGTTTGGGAAGAATGCTGCCCTGCATTCCACATTGCTGGGTTTTTCACAGAATTTATATCCTGTGGCTCTCAAATTAGGAAAAGTGTCAAAATCCCCACCGTTTATACCAGGCTCAGGATAGCTACCGTCAAACCAGTGGGTCCAGCTGCACAAGTTTTGTAAACAAGGCTCAGGGGTTGTTGAAGCTGGCGTTGACCTCAGAGTGAAGGTAGTGTTTTTCACAGTTGTAGGAGAACCTAGAGTGGTTGTAGTTGCACCTTGGGTAGGTGTAGGAGTACCTGTTGTGGTGGTGGTGGTACCTGGGGCATGTGTAGGAGTACCTGGGGTGGTCACAGTGGTCACTGGGACAGATAAAGGAGTACTCAGGGCAAGGGTAAAAGTACTTGGGATAATTGTAGAGGTAACCGGGAGGGGTATAGGAGTACTAGGGGCAAGGGTAGTGGTACCTGGAGTAGGTGTAGTGGTACCTGGAGCAGGTGTTTTGCTAGTTGTAGAGAGAGTGGTTGTGCCAGTTGCGGTGACAGTGGCTGGGGAAGTTTTGTTGTGTGTTGGCACAGGTGTAACCCTGATAACCCCCGATGTGGGCACCGTTTCTGTAATCCTGGAAGGTGTAGGAGTAGAAGCTGGTGGTGGAGGTGGAGTGCTGGAGGTGGAGCAGGTCCCAGGGAAGCAGCACAGAATCCTGATCTGGTAGTTATAGCAGAGCCCGGATGTCTGGTTGCGGTTGTAACACACTAGCCCCACGGTCGGGCTACACTCCACATGCTGCCCCAGGACTTGGAGTGGCACCTCTGGGGCACCCTCAGCTTGGCACTCCACCTCCTTTGGCACTGAGCAAACGTGGTACCCGTGGGCACGGAGGTTCTCCAGCGTGTCGAAGTCACCACTGTCAATGCCCCGTCCGGGATGGCTGACATCCAGCCACGGTGACCACAGGCACTCCTCTCCACAGGTCACGTGGGGCTGGACAGAGGTTTTGTGAGACATTGGACTAGAGGCTGTGACCAGAGTGGAGGACAGGGCACTGCTTGGAGTATTTGTGTGCACTGTGCTCTTGGTAGATCTGTGGCATGTGCGGGGCGGATGTATTGAGCTCACACCTGAGGACAGAAGAGAAGGAGGAAAGGCTAAGTCTCTTGGGGTCCCTGTCATCCCTGTCCCCTTGTCCACCAGCTGCTTTGCAGGTTTCACCAGGTCAATCTGTGTGACTGTCTCCACCTGTGCAGAAAATCCTGGCACAGGGCAGGTGTGGAGCTCATGGTAGTTGAATAGAGGTGAATTGAGCTCATTTAGGGGGAACCTGGCTCCCCAGGCATGCCCTGAGCAGAATTTGCACTCTTGGGGGATGCTCTGATAAGGCTCTAAGATGCCCCCCAGAGAAGGGAGGCCAGCCGAGGTGCCTTCACTCAAGCCTCTGCCCTGTGCTGAGAGCCCTGGCTCTGATGGTACAACTGAGGACACCCATCCTTCCAGGGAGACTGAACAAGCTGGCCCTTCCCAGCTGCAGGGACAGCAGGCTGCCCGTCCTGGGCCCCTCCTGGACTCTCGGGGAGAGGACAGCCCTGCACGGTGCCCGGTGTGTCTGCCTTACCGAGGGAAGGCGTGGAGAAGGAGAAGGTGGTGGGTGGTGCGGGGGTCGTGGAGCTGCAGGTGTACACCCTCCTCGCGATGGTGCCGTTCACGGAGCAGCGGGCAGAGATGCACCCGCCCGTGCCGTCAGTGGTGTGATAGATGACATCCCCCGGATGGAAGTGCCACCCGTTGTAGGTGCAGACACAGGCTGTGGGGGGAGGGTTGGGCACATGAGGGGCTGGGGGGAAGGTGGGGACCCTAAGACCCCAGACCCCAGCAAGGCCATCCACTGCTCACCCTCAGCATCGTAGACACACTGCACGCCGCTCTCAGTGCAAACACTGGTGGCAGGAGGAAAGAGGTGAGTCCGAAGGTGCAAGGCACCCTTGCTGTGCCAGAGCCGCCCCCAGCCCAAATGGTGGACGTGGGGCCCGAGGTCACACCCTCTCAGGGAGCCCCTGACAATCAGTGAGTGACGGAGGCAGGCGTCTAGCACACAATGCACCCTGGAGACATTCTGACAGATATCTCTGCTCCAGGGCAGCTGCCTGGGGGGTCCTCGGGGTGGCATCATGACTCAGCTTCACTGCAACCCCTGCCCACCCCCACCCTGCAACAGGGAGGTGCCTGCTAGACCCCAGGACCCCCAGGCTGTGGCAACCCATCCCTCCCTGTCCTGAGGGCCGAGGCCCTGGGGAAAGGTGGCCAGGGGGGCCTTTCCCCAAGAGCAGGAGCCAGTCGAACCCCCTCCCTCTCCCGGCTCCTCACCCCTCTGCCCCAGGACTCACCAGGACTGGCAGTTCTCCTCAGAAGGCACAACCGAGCCTGGCCAATAGGACTTGCCCTGGACACGGCAGGGCAGCGGCGGGGGTGGGGTTGGGCATGTGGCCACACACTGCATCTGGTCCTCATCGAAGATGGGGGCCTCCGGCGGGCACTTGGGGTAGCAGCCTGTAGCCCAGTGAGGCCTGAGTCCCAGCCAGCTTGCCTCACTGATCGCCTCAGCCCCATGGCCTCGGCTCAGACCCAGCCCTAGTTCTCACCCGCAGCACGGTGGCCGCATGGGACAGCACCCACAAAGGCACCTCAGGGTGCGGGAAGAGTCCAGCCCAGCCAAGGGTCCCAGGACCCCCAGCACCGCCCCTCTGGCCACCAAGGCAGCAGCTTACCTTCCAGGCCATGCAGGTCGTGCAGACACCGGCCGCTGGGGTTCCGGCAGGTCCTCATGCAGGGCGCCCCGCACGGCTGGTAGTGCCACTCACACTGACCCTCAGGGTTGTAGTAGTCGCAGAACAAGGCTGCAGGCAGGTGGGGGGCTCAGTGGCCCAGCACCACCTGGAGCGAGCCACCCAGTGGCCCCAGGCAAGACAGCACACGGGCCGGACAAGCTCCCCCTGCACCCCGACCTTCGACCCAGTCCTGCGGGCTGTTCTCCAGCCATTTCGCTCCCCTGTGCCTCCTGGATAGGACCTCAGAGGGCATAGGCCACGAATGCCCGTGGTACATGCAGCGTGGGCGCCTGGTCCCTGGGGAGGCCACCCATTGGGGTGGGGGACAACGGCCAGAGCAGCTCCCCAGGCACGTTCCCCCCAGCCAGGTTCCAGTTGGGTGGGGATGGGGCTCTGCTTACCCCTCTCAGTTCCAGAACACCCTTCCCTCTCCCCACCGACGACACCTATCCATTTCATTTTCTTCTCCACCATCCTCTCCCCTCCCATGGGTGACCAGCCTTATCACACACGGCCGTCACTCCCCGTGGGCCCGCTCCACCCTGACGCGTCGTGTATACTCACGGCAGATGTCCGGGGTCCTCCAGGACACGCACACGCCCACGTCGTGGCAGGCCTGGGCGTAGGCGGCCACAGCCGTGCAGAAACATTCACAGTCGCCCCCTGAGTCACAGGCACACGCATCGCCCACACAGGCCTCGTAGTACTTGGCGGGCTCCACCTGGGGGGCGAGGGGAAGAGGCTTGGGATTCGGGGCCTGGGGCACCCGGGGGTCAGGCCTGCAGTGTGCCCCGACCTGGGCCGGTTTCCCCCAGAGCTCAGGGGGAGCCGAGGGCCGACCACAGGCTGGCCAAGAGGGTAGGAGGCCATGCCGGTGCCCGACCTCTGTCCCCTCCCCCTGGGTGCCCTGGGGAACAGCTGCATACGTGGGCATGGCAGGCGGCGAACGTGGCGCTGTTGATGATGCTGCACTGCTTCTGAGACCAGGACTTGCGGTAGGGGTTGGCAGTGCAGGGGTCCCTGGGGGCTGGGGCATCAGGGCAGGACGGAGAGAACTTCCAGCTGTTGCCAAACTCCAGGGCGCTGCCCACCACGGACTGGCTCCGCGTGGTGAAGTCATTGACAGCATTGTCATCAAAGTTCCCACACAGCCCACAGACCCGGCCCTGCAGACGGAGGCACAGGAGACAGAGTGCTGGGGCTGTGCGGGAGGGGCTGGAGCTCTCCCCTGCCTCCTGTGACCCCATTTGCTGTCCCTGGCCCTCACGTCCCCAAGAGGAGGGGGGCCCAAGCGTGCAGGGGGGCTCTCTGCCTTCACCGTGTGTGGCCGCCCACAGCACACAGGGTCACAGTGGCATCCCTCCTGGGGGACGAGGGCACAGGCGAGATGGCACACCAGGCTGCTTGGTGTCCCCTGAAGACCAGCTCCAGTCCTGACCCTGAGCATGGCCTCATGTGGACCCAGGACCACTGCAGGTGGGGATCCAGCTCCCACAAGGATGTCCTGGGTTGGGGTGGGCTGACAGCACAGGGCCTGTGACCCCAGGGACATTCGGGCACAGACATTGAAGACAGTCTGTGCAGGCAGCGGTTGGGGGGACACCTGGGGCCCAGAGGCTCTGGAGGGAGTGGGCACTGGGACAGTCTGGTGGGACTTCCGGCATCCAGAACCATTAGAAGGAGCCGCGAGTTTTGCCGGTGTCCCAACAGCCCCATGACACGGTGAAGGGCCTCCTCCCAGCCACCCCTCGAGGCTCGCCAGCTGACTCCCCGCTCTGCGTCTGCCCAGCCACCCCACACCCATCCCAGCTGGCCCCTGGTCTAGGGCGAGGGAGGGCCATCCCGGGGTGGGGGTGGGGGCCTACCTTGAACTCAGGGCTGAGTTTGAGGAAGATACTGGTCTTCCTGTCCCACAGCAACACCAGGCCAACCTCAGTGTCCACCACCAGGTAGATGCCCATCTGACGGATGGAGTAGGGAGCCGCCTGCCCTGCACCCTTCTCGATCACCTCCACACCGCCACCACTCAGCCTCAGCTCGTAGCTCTGTGCGGGAAGGGGTCACTCGGACATGTCCCCGCTCCCTTCCCCACATTCCCAGGGGTGCTCCAAGGGGTGCCCCATCCCCGCCCAGCAGCCCCACTCACCCCCAGGAACAGCTTGATGGCCTTGGAGCAGGTGACGCCCGTGGTTCCGCAGGGGACGTTCTCAGTGACCACACGGAAGGTGGCATTGGCAGTGCTGTTCCCGCCGCAGTGGTCCTGGGGAGAGGGGGAGGCTGTGCCGGCAGCGAGGAGGCTGGGGGGCACCCAAAGCAGCACTGCAGGACCACGGGACAGCTGGGGAGCCCCAGGGACCACGTACCTGAACGAGCGTGTACGCGCAGTCCCCACTGAAGCTGTAGCGCCTCCCGTCAAAGGTGAGGTAGTGGCCGTCCCCGTACACCGCGCAGGTGGCCAGGCAGGGCTCGTCCGTACACTTCCACATCCTGCTCTTACAGGTGCTAGGGGCAGGGACAGGGCCAGTCAGGCCCAGGCTGGGTGGGGGGAGTTGGGGTCGGGGACGAGCCCCTGCAGGGGCCTGACTGGGGCAGGATCTTCAGGCAGGCCTCGGGGGCTGGGGCTTCACCACCCGGTGCAGGGAGGGCCCCCCTGCCTACCAGGTGTTGCAGCCCACCCAGATGGTCTGGCCGGGCAGGTAGCTGGCCTCGTTGTGCACGCAGGGACAGTCTGTCACAGCGACGCAGCCACCTTTACCGTCGGACACCAGCCCATCGGGACACACGCAGCCAGGTTCGCACTGGGAGCTGTACTGTGGGGCACAGGGGACACAGCTTAGCAGGCTGGGGATCAACAGCAGAGCCCCCCGCCTCCCACAGCCTGCAGTGAGTCTGGAGAGCACTTGGTCAGCCGTCTTCCGGGGACCAGCCTGAGACAGCCACTCGGCAGGTGCCCGTGAAGGGTCCTTGGGGTGTGGGGGACTCACACAGTCCATGTCCAGGGTGAAGCAGCTCTTCTGACAGCTGGCCCCAGTGGCCCCCCGCGTGGCATTGCGACAGTCGAGGTAGACCATGGGTGGGGTGCAGACTGGGGAGGAAGAGGCCATTCAGGGGTCCCCAAACACCACCCACCAGGCTGGCCCTGAGACACACAGCTGCACACGGTGTGTTTCCCAGCAGCCGAGTCTATGCCTCCCTGGGGCACGGCCAGCGGGGTGTGTGCTTGTGCACAGTGCTCACACGCTCACCACCTCCTCACTGAGCCCAGAGGGCACAGACCGCAGACAGAGAAACCTATGCACACCCACCAGCCACACTGACGGGGTGGGGGGTGGGGGTCACCCAGAAGCTTGGAGATAATGAGAGCCCGTCCCTCTCTGCGGGCTCACCTGGGGTGGGAACTTGGCCTCCGATGCAGGTCAGCATGCCTTGCGTGCAGGTGCTGGGAGGAGAGGGTGGTCAGAGGGTTCGCCCACCCCAACTGCCCTGCCCACCAGGCCCAAACGACAGGGGCTCTTACCAGATGGCCCCACGCTCGTGGAGCGACTCCCCGTTGGGGACCATGGAGCCTCCGTGGTAGCAGGGACAGCTGGTAGGCGGCACACACTTGCCCGTGTCGTCCATGAAGGTGCCAGTGGGGCAGGTGCAGCCATCCACAGGGACAAAGTTGATGCCACAGGTGATGTCCTCGTGACTCCGGGACCGGCAGGTGGGCTGGCAGGTGTCGATGTGGTACTGGTAGGTCAGCGACTTAGGGCAGGTGGCCATGGGCTTTGCTGTAGGACGCCAGGCAGGGAGAGGCAGTCAGGATGAAGGGGAGCCGTCACCACACCCCGCCCCTATGCACAGCAGGCCTGCCCCTCGCCGCAGGGTCCCAGGCTGTGCTGGCTGGGTGCTCCGGGCCTCTGAGCCCCACGCGGGGATGAGGCCATGCATCACATGTTCCAGTGCGGGGGGACACTCACTGCACACGCCGTCCCTCCAGCCGCTGAGCAGCACCCCGTTGGCAGCGCAGGCATGCACGTAGGAGGACAAGGCCGCACACAGGCAGTCCTCGCTCTTCTCACAGTTACACGTGTCGAACATACAGTTCTAGGGACAGGGATGCAGGAGCCATTAGGGACCCCCGCACACCCAGGCCCCTCCTCTCCCTGTGTGTCCTTCTTGGGCCCCCCACCTGGGCTGGGAGCTCCGCCCCGAGGATGGACGCAAGAGGCCGGGGACCTGAGGACATGGTGAGCATCCCCCAAGAGCCTGCAGCCCCCCAGGACCCCTCCTCAAGTCTGCGCCAGGGCCCCATGCCCTCAGCAGACCGTCTTGGCACCTGACCCCCCTCCAGGTGAGTGCTGGAAGGACCATGGCCTCTCATCTCTGGACAGGTGCCAGCTCAGAGCCCAGAGCATCTCAGCCACCACTAAGGGGTCCCATTTGGACTCCAGGGTCCACGGGCCATGAGCCCTCAGGGGTTGTCGTCCTGGCTGGAGGCACAGATGAAGGCGAGGCCTCGGGACATCATTGGGTCCTTGCAGAGATGCCCCCGCCTCCCGAGGGCAGCCGCATGGCCAGAGGGCTGAGGCCGGTGGGCGCAGATTACCGAATAGTAGGTGCCAGGGTTCACGGCAGTGTGGCACTGGGCGAAGGGGCCGTGGGAGTCCGTCAGCCGGGAGCACCAGTGCTGAGCATACTTCTCTGTGGACAGAGGAACCAGGGCGGTCGGCGGGCCGGATGGTCAGCCCCCTGTAGGGTCCCGGCTCCTTCCCAAGCACCCTTGCTAGGTCAGCAGGCATGCAGAGGCCGGGCCTCCCCCGCCCCAGAAACACCCTGTTCCTGTTCTTGCAAAGTTACCACGGCCGTAACGGGCAATGCGTTGGCAGGTCTGCCTGTTTACCTCCTGAATCCCTCCTTTGGGGCCAGAGGGGACCTCTGTGGCCCCAGGGGTCACCAGCACCCACATACCGTTCTCCACGCTGAGGGAACAGGGGTCCTCGAAGCTGTTCTTGACGTTGGGGCAGGCGGCCTGGGTCTTCCAGGTGTTGGCGAAGGCAGCGGCCGTGCCCTCCACCACGCCGCTGAGGGCACGGAAGTCGTCGGCCTGGTTCTGGTTGAAGTTCCCGCACAGGCCTGGGGGTGGGAGGGGCGGGAGGGCGGTGTGAGGTCCCGGAGCCCTGCAGCCCAGGTGGGCTCCGGGCTCCCAGGGACGGCGGTGCCTCTTACCACAGGTCAGCCCGCGGAGCTCGGGCCCCAGCCTCACGAACACCTGCATGATGGGCACCAGCTGGATGTCCAGCTGCAGGCCCAGGTTGGTCTGGGCGACGATGAAGAAGGTGGAGGGTCTGAAGAGTGTAACGTTGCCTGTGGACACAGGAGTCAAGGCCTCAGTGGGCTGTGAGGGGCGGGACCCTGGGGGGCCAGGGCGGTGCCCTCACCTGCTGAGATGGGCATCTGGGTGTAGATCTGGTTCACAAACACCTCCCCGCTGGCCTTGACAGTGATGACCTGGGAGAGCAGGGGGCGGGGTCAGGGTGGCTGGGGCTCCACCAGCACCCCGGGGGGCTCCAGAGGCCATGACCCCTGCCCATGGGGACCCCAGGTACCCATGAGGAAGGGCTGACGACCCAAGCACCACCCCAGGCTCAGCTTATCTGTGTCCCTCAGGATCACACACTCTCTCTGGCAAAAACCCAAGTCATTTGATGACATAGGGAAGTTGGAAAAATAAAAAGAAAAAACAAAAATAAATAAACAATAAAATAAAATAGGGAAGTTGCCTTCAATGAAGTCGAGCTACCGGACGTGCCCTGGTCCCTCCTTCCAGGGCTGGTTGGGGCAGGCGTGGACGCCCCGGTGGCCCTCCCCAGGCAGAAACCCGTGGGTGGGAGGGTCCTCAGGCTGCACCCTGGTCACTCGCCGCCCGAGCCAGGATCAAGGGCTTGGGCAGAGGTCACTTGCCATGAGGGGCAGACTCCCCCAACCTGCGTCTGCTCTCACTGTGCCCCTCACCCCCTGGGTCTGCTCTCACTGTGCCCCCCACCCCTCGGGTCTGCTCTCACTGTGCCCCCCACCCCCTCGGGTCTGCTCTCACTGTGCCCCCCACCCCTCGGGTCTGCTCTCACTGTGCCCCCCACCCAGCCCCCCCAGGGCTATGCTCACCGTGTGTCCCCCGCCCAGGCTCAGCGTCAAGCTCCTCAGACAAGTCTCAGTGTCTGTCAGGCCACACTTGCGCAGCTCCGCCAGCACAGTGAAGGTGCTGCTGTTACAGGGCTGCAGACACGGGTCCTCACCCTCTGCCCAGAGGTGCCAGCCCACAGAGTCCTCCCCGCCTCCCCGCCCTCCCCCCAAGATCCTAGGGGGCACATTCCCAGGGTGGCCACAGACGCAGCATCTACATGCAGCCTAGGCAGGGGGTGAGCTGGTCAGACTCGTGGCCAAAAGCCACTCCGTCGGGAGCAAGGACCTTGGGGCCCGTACCTTGACCAACACGTAGCTGCAGTCCCCGTGCACTGTGTACCGCCTCTCGTCAAATGTGGAGAAGTGGGCGCCCCCCAGCACTGAGCAGGTGCCTGGGCACGGCACCTCTTGGCAGCTCCACTGGCCTCTCAAGCAGGTGCTGAGTACAGGTACAGCCCATGTGTGTGCAGCCCCTGGAGCATCCAGCCCCAACCTCCGCACTGGCAGGTGGACAGGGGTCTTGCCGAGGCCCACCCACATCACTGCACAGACCAGGGCCCATCAGGATCTGCATGGAGAGCCACCGGCCTATGCCCAGGGCCCCGAGTGAGAGGCGACAGCCAGCATGGGGCCATGGCCCCCAGAGCAGCCTTCCCAGGACATGTCCAGGGGGTACAGGAGGGCAGGGGCTTGGGGTCCTACCAGTTGGTGCAGTCTGTGGAATAGACGGCCCCCGGAGCGTACGTGGCCCCGTTGTACACACAGGCACACTGGGAGGCAGGAATGCAGCCCGTCTGGCCAATGTCATCGAGCACCATCCCTGCAGAAGCAGGCAGGCCGTACGGCAGGTGCCAGGCTGTGTCCACCACTGAACAGGTGGAGGGGGCCGGCCCTCTGCCCAAGGTCACCCTGACCTTCAGGGGCTCCTCAGACCCAGGGGCCCAGAGCACCTCTGTGTGAGGCTAAGGGGGGCGGGCGAGGCTGGGGGCTTCTCTCACCCTCGGGGCAGAAGCAGCCAGCCATGCAGTGGTCCTCGCAGAGCTGGGAGTGCTCTGGGTTGGAGCAGGTGTCGGCGCAGGGCGAGCCACACTCCCAATACTGCATGTTGAGGGGGCAGGTCTGGGCTGCAGGGCAGAGTGCGAGGCCACGTCATGTCCTGCCCCCACCTCTGGGCCAGGGCGGGGACATGACGGGGCCGGGGCCTGCTGGGGCACTCACGGCAGAGGTCGGGGCCCCTCCAGTCCAGGGGCAGCCCCCCAGCGTGGGCGCACTGGCGGGAGTACTCGGCGAGTGTGTGGCAGATGCAGCTGCTTGGGTTGGCGTGCTCGCAGGCACAGAGGTCGTGCCGGCAGGCCTGCACATAGCTGCTGGCGTCCACCAGGGCGCTGCAGCCCGAGAACAGCCTGCTGCTCAGGATCTCCTCACAGATGCCCTGGGGGCGGAGCCGGGAGTCCATACTGAGTCCAGACCTGGGACCCTCCCCTGGACTCAGCCCCACCCAGTCTTGGCCCCCCCAGGTGCCCCTTCACTACAGGGCTTACAGAGCCAGGTGAGCAGTCCATCATGGGCACAGGGACAGGGTCCTGACACTGCTCTGTGGGGCCGTCCATCTTCTGCAGATTCCCAAACTGGATGGGGGTGAGCTTGACACCTGCGGGAAGCCCGATGTCAGGCTATTAGGTTCCCAGCCCCTCTGCACCAACCCCCAAGACACCTGGGCTGTCCACCACACCCCCACACACACCTTCCACACTTCGGGGCTAGCCAGTGGCCACAAGGGGTGGCAGGCAGAGGCCTGAGGCCTGGTAACTGAGGCATGCAGCCCTTGGAGCCCAGCCTGCCGGGCCAGGGCCACCGGACACTTGCGCAGGTCTGCTCCCCCACGGCTAAAAGCGCCTTATGGGTGAGCTTCATGGGCTTCACAGACCAGGTGAAGGGGATGGGGCTGGGGACTTGGGCTGCTGTGGGTCACATGAAATGCCACGTCTTGGCCACAAAGACCAGAGACCCAGGACACAGTGACAGGTATGATTGGAGGCAGGACTGCCACTCCCCATGAGGATGTGTGGTCATGATGGGAACAGGGGGCCATGCAAAGGCCGTGCGTCAAGGTTGGTGGCCAAGTGTACAGGTGGGTACGTGTGTGCACGGGGATGGTGCAGGTGCCTCTGTGTGCACCTGTGCGCATGTCTACAGCGTCCGTGTGCAGCTCTGTGTGTGTGTGTGTGTGTGTGTGTGTGTGCATAGCGTGTAAGCTGGGGACATCTGACCAGGACGTGGGCCCATAACATCCCAGGAGCCACTGGGCAGCCGTGGCGAGGGGCCTACCATGGGAGAGGAACTCGTTGAACACGGGCTCGCTATTGAAGTCTCCACACAGCCCACAGGTCTGGTTGGCGTACTTGGCGTCCAGCTCCAGCTGCGGTGAGAGCCCATGTCAGACGTCGACCCCACAGAGACATCTCAGGATGCGGAGGACGGAGGAGGTATGGGATGTTCCACCCCTCCCCGCGCTCCCCACTGCCTGTAGGGTCTCATGGTGGGGGTGGGGGATCCTAGTTCTCCCCCAGCCTCTGGGCCCCCTCCTCACTGGCCCACCCACCTTTGCCCAGTGCACTTGGTTCCCTCTCTGGGGAGGCTGTGGGGCTGGCAGTGCCCCCCACCCCAACCCCGGGCCCCGGCCTCACCAGAAGGCTATCGTCCTGGCTCCACATGAAGACCAGGCCCAGCCTGGCCACCACCTTCAGGGCGTTGCTGCTGTGCTCGATGAGGACCCCGGACTGGCTGAAGGGCAGCTGAATTCTGTGGAGAGAGGGTCCAACTGAGGCCCCAAGGGCTCACAGGGATGGGCCATGGAGCTCTGACCCTTGGCTGGAGGCAGGCATGGGGGGGCGCCTACAGGCAGATGGGACAAGACCACTGTGCCCTCAGATGGTGCCAGTGGGTGTGAGAAGGACAGGGGACCCTGTAGCACGGGTATCATGAGGGCCTGGGAAGAGGACCGTTCCAGGGGCTGGGGGCCCAGCACAGAGGCCTGGGGACAGCCTCCCATCCCCCCACGGTCCCCCAGACTCACAGCTGCCCGTTGGCCAGGACGGCATTCTTGGTCAGCTGGATGACCATGCCGTCGAGCTTCATGGTGACTCTGATGACCGTGGTGGCGTTGGACTCGAGGCCGCGGCGCAGCTGGATATTGAAGTCCTCATAGGCGGCCCCACAGTGTGCGGAGAGGACGTAGTTGCACAGGCCCGGGAAGTGGAAGACATCCCCGTCGAAGGTCTTGTAGTGGAAGTTGCCCCACGTGCTGCACACTCGCCCGTTGTGCGCAGGGTTCAGGGCTGCGGGCCGAGGTGGTCCTCAGAGTGCTGCCCTGTGCCCACGCCAGGGACGCTGCCGCCCAAGAGCTGGGCGTCTAGGGAGGACGCTCCGGGGAATGGGGACCCCTCCAGGCTGTGCTACCAGCCCCCTCACCTCACGGACCCTCACTCACCTCGAACCACGGGGGCCATCCGCAACGGGGGGAGGAAGTGGAGCGAGTGGCCTGTGGGAACAGGGGAACAGGGACACGGTGTCACAGCACCTGCCCGCCCAGTGTCGGCTGCAGTTGGGCATCTCCACCGCCCTCGCCAACCCTGCTGGCTGCAGGCCCAGCTCCGGGTCTGGATCAGGTCCACAGGGGCAGCAGCTTCCCCTCCCAGGCACCCCAAGGGGCTGTGAGCCCTCAGGCCCAGGACTCTCCTTGCTCGTGGACCATCCTTGCATCCAGAGTCTCAGAAACACCTGAGGCAACTCCAGGGGCTCAGGACAACACCTGGGGTTCTGGGCACATGCCAGCCTTCCCGAGCCCAGCTGGGGAAATGACTCTCCTGGGCGGCACGCCCAGTGTGGTGGCACAGAAGCACCTGGGGAGGCCACCCCGCCAACCCCCCCAGGCCAAGAGCACGCATATGTGGCCACAACATCAGGAGTCGTGGGCAGATGAGAGGACATGGCTGTGAGTTCAGCGGGCCTCTCGCCTGTCTGCCCATCTGAAGCTGCGATGCAGAGACAAGCAGCCTTCAGGGGGGCTACCATGACTGGGTGACTGACTGAGGTGTCCTCCAGCCCCCCAGACTCTGGCCCCCGGGGAGTGGGGCAGGGCAGCCCTGACAGGTGGGGGTCGACTCACCACCAGGCACCTGGGGCCCGGGAAGGAGGACTTGGGACTTGCCATGTTCCGCAGAGCTGTCCTGGGCCCGGCCTATGGGAAGAAGAGAGGATGCGGGGCCTGAGCCAGGCAGACAGGGCACAGACAGAAGGATGGGCAGATGGAAGGGTCGGGGCAGGTGGGGGTCCTGTCTGTTTAGGGCTGGGGACACTGCCCATGTCAGGGCCACGACCCTCTGTGAGCGCCCCCAGCTTGCCTGGCGGCCCTGTCACAGCATCTCCCATCTTCATTCATACTGAACATCTCCCCACTTGGGACATGGGAGACCCAGCCCGTGGGGGGATCAGACGGTAAAAGCAATGGGTTGGCTGCCACGTGTCAGCCGACCCGTCACCAGGGCTCTGGGGGAGAGTGTGGAGCGGGAGGGGTGGCCTGGCCCACAGCCTGGCCCTGCAGGGACTGTCTACAGTCGTCCCTGACGCAGGTGCCCAGGGGACCCCCTAGCACACGGTGGCTGGAGGCTGAGCACCTCAGGAACAGTGCTCCCTCAGCCCAGCGTCCCCTGGGGCACAGTCCCCCCAACACCTGCCCAGGACCCAGCTGTCCCCTGGGACGCAGAGGCCACGAGGTGCAGACCTGGGTGGGAAGGGACCTCAGAGGGTCTGTGAGCCTCTCCCCTACCTCCTCATGTCATGGACCTCACTATGACACCTTCCCCCAAGCCCAAGATCCCCGGAAGCCCCGCCTTAAGGCCCCAATGGGGAAAAGGAGCTGGTAAACTGGGGGCACGTGGTGAGAGGCTCCCAGGGTCAGGTGGGCAGCTCTGCTGGCCCAGGGGCCCCAGGACCTGCTCGGAGCAGGGGGCAGAGGCAGCGAGGAGCTGGAAAACACACGTGGATGGACGTGTCAGCCGGAGGCCAGCCTGCTGACTGGGAAGGCAGGCCAGGGCTTGGAGACGCCAAGTTCCTGCTTCTCCACATCAAGGGAGCAGCCCAACCTCAGAGGTCCCTGCCCCACCTCGGACCCCTGCAGCCCCGAGAGCTCCTCCCCGGCCCCACGAGCCAGAACCCCCAAGATGTGAGGGCCAGGGGCCACGCAGCCAGGAGCAGCTCCCAGACATGCTGTAGCTCGTCTGGAGGCCAGGGCAGGACTCTGAGCTGCCTCCTGCCATCCCTGGGCCAGAGCCGCCCCAGGATATAGGGAATCCACAGGGAGGCCAGGGCAGGGCCCGGCCAGCCTGGGAAAGCCTCTCAGCAGGAGCCTTACCTGTGCCCCGGGCACAGGCCAGGGTGAGGACCAGGGCCCAGAGTGGGGCCAGCCTCCTCCAGCTGACACCCATCCTGCGGATGGAAGAGAGCGGTCCCCAGGGGCAGCGTCTGAAGAAGGAACTGAATGGGCAGGAGCCTTTTGTAGCCTCAGAGCTGGCTGGCTCAGGCCCCAGTGGGTGGGTGGGGCGGGGCCTACCGTTCCCCCCACCCAGGTAAACAGTGGGCACTCACTCGGGGCTGGCCAGCAGCCCAAAACTGGCAGAGACGGGCATAGCTGCCAGGTGGGCTTGGCTTCCTGAGGGCTTCCTGAGGCCTGGCCTGGAGGGATCCCCATGCCATGCCCCTGGACGGCTTCTGTGTGGCCGGACCCCTGAGATCCTCATACCTCGAAAGCCTGGACTTCCCTGGGCTGTTGGGACTGCCAGGGCCACCCCCTCTCTGGACATGGGCTCAGGGGGCAGCACCCCCAGTGACAGGACCCTGACCTCCATTCAGCTTGGCCTTGGACCCTAGCCATGCTTCCAGTTCCTGGCTCCAGATGGGCAGTGGGCAGCCCCAGGCCAGCCCATGGCCACCAGGGGTGGAAGTGGCTGCACCCACTGGGCTGGGATGCTGCTGACTGGCTTACCCCAGGAATCATCCCAATGAGAGGGCTGAGAAGGCAGGGTGGTGTCACGGACATATGAGGGTCAGGTCTGTAGGGGTGCTGGACACTGGACTGAACTCTCCCCCACAGGGCGGCCACACACCCACCATGACCAGCAGCTCCACTGCCTGCGAGCAGCCCAACCGGAAGTCCCAGCCGGGCACGGTGGGGAGCTGCAAAGGGAGTGGGAGCAGCTGGGCCGGGCCATTCCCAGCACCGGTTTCCTGCTCTGGGGGCCTGTCCCAAGATCCTTATGGTCACCTGATTTTCTGTCTCTGACCTATCCCCTCCCCGTACCCCGGCTTGGCCCTGGAACCTAGAAGAGAGCACCGCATGTGTGCACTGGGGGAGTATGGGGAGTGGGGTTATGAGTGATGGATCATGTAGGAGCAGGAGCCTGAGGGGGGGGGAGTGTGCCCACCAGGCTCCCCTGCTCAGCCTTGGAGGGGGAAAACCCGGGGGGGGGTCCCCAGGAACAGGCAGGGTGGACAGGTCTGGCTCCAAAGGACTGTGAAACTTTCTTTGATGGTCAGGAGTGAACGGTGGGAACCAGGCCGTGGGCGAGACCCTGGTAGGGGAGGGTGAGGGACACACAGGCCTGCCCTCCTCACACACCCAGAAAGGCAGGGAGGCAACCAGTCAAGCAGTGTCCTGCCAGCACTGGACACAAGCCTGAGTGGACACGCGACCCTAGGTCCTCTGAGTCACCAGACTGGCCCTCTGGAACATGCTCTGCACAGACAAGGCTGAGCTGAGTCACCCAGGCAGATGGGCAGTGGCAGCCCCGGGCCAGCCCATGGCCACCAGGGGTGCAAGTGGCCACACCCACTGGGCTAGGGAGCTGCTGACTGGCTTACCCCAGTAATCGCCCTAATGAGAGGGATCAGAGGCAGAGTGGTGTCATGGACACCCAGCCCCAGGCCACACGCATGTGAGCGTTGGGTCCTTTAGGGTGCTGGGTACTGGAGCTGATTTCTCCATGGTCCTGGAACTCCGGGCACCCAGCCCTGGCCTGACCCCAACCCCGCCCCTGCCCAGCCCAGCTGTCTCAACCGAGGTGACCAGGACAGAGGACGTTGGTTTCCATGCTGCCTGTCCCCCGCTCTAGGAATGTCGGGGTTCCTACCCTGGGCTTGTCACTTCCTTCAGGGCACAGCCAGGGCCCCATAGCAGGTGACCCACTCGGTTCTAGTCACTCAGAGCACCCCTGCGCCTGCTCCCCAGCCGTTCTCCACTCAGCAGGTGCTCTGTCCAGGCCCAGCTTTGGGCAAGAAAGGGGGCAGCTTCACAGCTCTTCCCCACTGGGGCCCCGTGGGCTGGTGTTCTCCCGCCAGGACAAGGAGGTGAGCCAGACAGTCCTGCCAGGGGGCCCAGGCAGCTGGGAGCCAGGCCTCCCCCCACGGCCTGGTGCCCTCCAGGAGCTGCTGTGGGGAAACACCCCAGTTCCACCCTCCAACCCAGAAGTCGGCACCCCTCTCCCCCCAGGAGTGAGTCAGGCCAGACCTGCCATGATCTCAAAGCAGAGCTGGTCACATTCCCGCTTTGCACAGGGGAGTGGAGAGCTGTCTCAGATGCCACAGGATCCTGCTCGCCAGCCCCTTCTCCGGTGGTCCCAAGTCCTGGCTGGCTGCTCCAACACACGGAGAGCACGCAACGTGGCAGGAGGTGTGGTTACCCGACTCTGAGGATGACACAGGTGGGGGGCACCTGGCTGGGGCTGGCGATCTGGACTCAGGGAGAAGGTGGTCACCCCCCAGCTGTGTGCCCCGGGCCTGCACGTCACCCTCCCTGGGCCTGAGCTTCCTCCTCCGGGAAACAATGACCACGGGGCCAGCTGCTCAAAGATGTGAATCAGAGAAGCATCCGCTCGGCTTCCTTTGGTCCCCAGAAGTGCCCCCACTGCCCCATGGGCCCGCCACCCCAGCCCGGCCCCTGAGACTTGTGCTAGCAGGGCCTTGGCCGAGCTCCCACTTCCTCATCCCTGAAATGACCTGACAACCCTGTGCTGTGTCATTTCTTGGACTTTTGCACATTAATGAGTGTGGGATGGTGGCACCCCGGAGGATGTCACGCCCTGCACCATGGTGGTTAAACAGGCGGTACCTAAATCACTGTGCAGCTCCCGGCCCACGGCGGCCCAGCACTCAGGGGCCTGCGGCCCTGCCTGCGGCCGAGCCTGCTGCACAGGATGTCCTGAGGGTGCGGGTGGGGCCCCGGCAGCCCCCACCCAGGGAGCGGGTGCTATGCTTGCTGGCGTCACAGATGGGGAAATGGGCACTGGAGGAGGGTTACCGTGCGTCCTGGGCGATAGGGAAGGATTTCTCAGCAGGGACAGGCCTTGAAGAGGAAGTGGGCTGGGGCTCTGGGAGCCGCTGATACCAAGGCCGGATTATCTATGGGTGCTGTTGACAGAAAGGGCAGGCTTGAGCCGCTGTCTCCAGGCCAGGAGCTTCCTTGATAAGGACAGAGACGACCCCAGCCCTCCCTGCTTTGCCGTGGGGGCCCCAGGAGAGGCATCGGGCAATGCCCGCAGTGGGGGTCAGTGTCCTGGGCCTGACGGGCCGAGACTCTCACAGCCTGATGGGCTGGGGGTCAGGGGCGTGCTCTCCCACGCGAGAGAAAGGGAGCGGAGAGTAAATTTGGTTTTACGGTGGGGCTGCACTGATTTGAAACCTTCGTGCGCGTATTTATTTATCTGAATCATTGGACAAATAGAATTCCTCCGGAAAGCTGGGCTGGCCCGCAAGGGCCACCATCTGGCCGAAGGACCAGCTTCCCCTGCACCCCCATGCCCGGTGAAGGCCTTGCACCCCCACTCCCACCCCGTTAACACAGAGGGCACCACTCCTGCCCCCAGAGCCCCAGGGTCAGTGACAGTGCAGGGGGCACCGTCCACTGGGGTTGTTCCCTGAAGGCAAGCATGTTTGTGTCCTAGGGGTCAGGGAGAGGCTCACACGTTCCCCTCCTCTGCCCCCAGGGACTACCAGCCCCACCATGCACCATTGGCAGTGCTGTCCCCCACCCGACCCCGGGCACAGGGACCTGCCAGGCCACTTGGTCACAGGAAGCGGGGACAGAATGCACTGTCATCCTCACATCCTTCTCCGCAGCTCCCCAGGGCACGGGGGCCACCGGTCAGCCCCTCTGACATGAGCACTAGAAGAACACCAGCGCTGCATGGGGCTGTGGGGGTGAGGGTCCGTCTAATACTATCAGCACATTTAAAAAGTCTTTTGCTCAGTATAAAATCATATTTGCAGTAATTAAAGCACCACTTCTGCGTATGTCCTGAAAAGAATTGAAAGCAGAGTCTCGAGATGTTTGCAACCCACATTCGAAGCGGCATTAGTCACAGCAGCAAAGAGGCGAAGCAGCCCAAATGTCCATCGACAGAGGAGGGGATAAACCTGGCCATCTACACGCTGGACGGTCACTCAGCCTGAACAAGGAGAGACGCGCTGACACCTGCCACAGTGTGGGTGGACCTGGGGGATGTGATGCTGAATGACACGGGCCAGATACTGGGGGACACATCCTGCAAGATTCCACCCACACGAGGTCCCTAGAGTCTCCAGATTCACAGGGTCAGAGAGTGGACCATGAGCACAGGGCTGGGGGAGGGACAGGGTCAGTGTCTCCTGGGGACAGAGAGTGGATGGTGGTCACAGGGCCAGGGGAGGGATGGGGTCAGCATCTCCCGGGGACAGAGAGTGGACGGTGGTCACAGGCCTGGGGAACAGATAGGGGTCAGTGTCTCAGGGGGCCAGAGTCTTCATCTGGGACGATGGACAGTCCTGGAGACGGATGGTGGGGATGCTGCACACCAGTGTGAATGTGCATAGTGGTCCTGAGCTGTGGCTTAGAGACGGTGAAGACGGTACATTTTGTTACGCGTGATTTTTCTAATTGGAAGAAAAACTAAAGCAAAATCCCCGCCTTGAGAAAACACCCGTGAGTAATGTAGGCAGATCTAAAAGGAGGCATTTGCAGCAAACTTTCTGAGCCTGTTTGCACCCCAGGGGTCCTCCTGCCCCATGGCCCCTCCCGCCATCCTAGCCAGAGGGGCTTCGGCTGCCCCAGTTGCCCAGGTTTGTATAAAATACAAATAAACAGGCTGGGTCTCTGGGTATGTTCACAACAGCAATGGCTTGGCGGTTGCTGAGCCAGGCTGGGGGCTGGACCGGCGCCCCTGGGGCACCCTCCATCGGGGCTAGAAGCCTGGAGGTGCTGAGGAACCACCCTGCTTGGGGCTCCCGCTCAGCAACCAGGCCCCGGGACCCTGAGGACATCCGTGAGGGCGAACAGCCCCGGTGCTCTGTGCCAACCTGCTCGGCACCCGCCCCCCAACGCTGCACCACGGCTGGACTGCGATACCCCACCTCCCTCCACCTGGCCTCCAGCTGGGGGGGGACGAGCCCACATAGG